TGCCTATATGTCTGCTTAAAAACCTATGGATTAGAAAAGATCATCTCCAAGGTCTTGTCCAAGCTGAAGACAAGATTATTTGGTTATAATAAGCAAACTTTGGGGGAGAAAAATGGATTTGCTGATGAAGAGGTTGCTATGACAACATATATATTTTTGCAGTTATTGTGTGTGTGTGTGTGTGTGTGTGTGTGTGTGTGTGTGTGTGTGCAGGCATTTGAGAACATAATTTTAACAATAATAATTTTGACAGTGTTTAATATGCTTGTGTTTATATCATATATGTTAATATGTATTTAAGTATGTATTTAATAGGAAAAAACTAGGGAGTAAGACTGTAGTGAGGCTGTATTAAGGTCTTGAATGTGTGCTAAGGAATTACAATTTATGTGGTAAACATAAGTTTGTAATATGTCAGTTAGGCAAGAAACAGCCAACCATGTACCCGAGGGGGGCACTTATAGTAAACCAAAATTTCTGGGAACTTTTTGTGCCGGAGATAAAAGTAACTTTTTGTGACCAGAGTGCAGAGCAAAGAAGCTGGGCAAAGAAATGAAAGTTAGATTTTCCCTACAATGTATAATAATTTTATTTTGTTAGATTTTTTATTTTATTAAATTCAGGATTTTATGATAAGGAGATATGGATACTTGACTAAGTATCTCCCTTTGACAGTCAATAATAAGTTTTTCTTAGATATCATCGATGAGCCTTTAAGATTTTCTCTTTATCTTTCTGTCAATTTGACTATAATATGCCTAGGTGTTATTTTGTTTGTTTTACTTTTGCTTGAGATCTTCCAAGCTTCTTGATTTTGTAGATTGATGTCTTTCATTAATTTTGCAAAACTCTCAGCCATTATATTTTCACATATTTTTTTCCGTACCATTTTCTTTCTCTTTTTCTTTTAGGACACAAGTTACATGTGTGTTTGACTGTTTATTATTATCCCACAGGTCTTTCATGCTCCGGCCTGTTTCTCTTCACTCTTTTTGCCCTGTGCTTCCGTTGGTATAACTTCTATTGACTTCTCCTAGAATTCACCTATCCTTTTTTTTTTGTTGTATCCATTTCTACTGTTAAGCCCATTTAATAATTTTGTCACTTTAAATATTTTGTTTCTGTTTTAAAACTTTTAAAAAGTTCTCTGTCGAAATATTCCAACTTTTCACCAATTATTTTCATCTTTTCCTCTAATTTTTTATCCTAACTATAATGATTGTTTAAAGTCTTAGTTAATTCTAACATTTGAGTCACCTGTGGGTCAGTTTCTATTGACTGGTTTTCTTTTGTCTGTGCGTCACGTTTTCCTGCTTGTATGGATGTCTCATAATTGTGTATTGTATGCCAGACATTGTGTAAAAATGAATTGTAGAGACTGAGGTAGAAAATATTTATCCCCCACAAGGGGCTGGTCTCTGCTCAAATCAGGAATTGAGCTAAGTTGGGTTTGGGTTGCAGTTTACTTAGTTTTATTTACCACTGATTCCAAAAGCATTAAGTTAAAGGCCCCTCCTTCCAGCTGGGCTTGGTGTCCAAGCCCCATGTAACTGTGAGATTCTGCTCTGCTCTCCTGCCATGCCCCAAGATTTCTGTGACACTGGAAATCTCTTTTCGCCTTTCCATCTAGACCCTCTTGCCCACATGCTGCTGAGACCTTGGTAAAAGTCCCAAGGTGAGGACTTGCTCTGTGTCTGGGGCTCATATGTATTCAGTATGCCCCATTAGCACAAGATTGTTAAAAGTTCAGCCAGTTTCTCCTTTCCCCTGCAAAATCCCCCACTCGGTGACAGGTCTGCTTCTTTATTTGCTCCCCCAGATTAAAGCTGCTTCTAGTCCTAGCTCATGTATGAAAGGTTTATCCCTCTCTGAGATTTAGTTTCCTCTAAATTTCTTTGTGTCCTCAGCTTCCTGTTGGGTTAAAAAATATGCATAATTTTGTAACTTAAATGGTGTTTCCTCTTTGTTATGGTGGGAATGTTGGTCAATGGTTACCATCTTTAACATAACCAGAGGCAGGACTTTGAAGACCCTCTGTTTTTGAAGTCATTTTATCAATGTTTTTCTGATTATAAGAATAATCATTACAAAAAATTGAAAGTCTGGAAATATGAACAATACTTTATGAATATGAATTTTTGTCATTTTACATATTTACACTAGTCCTCTCTGGACTGATTTAATTTAAAAATATTTGGTGTCCAGGTGGAAAGAATTTTGCTTTCATTTCCAGTCCTCCATTCAACAGTCAGTCTTCAAAATTCTTCTTTGCCTCTTGGTTTCTACTTGTTCTCCACCCACCTTTCATATGTACTTATTGTGATATGGAAGGTGCATTACTCTTACGTTATTCACTGAAATCCAGCTCCATAGTATCTCTTCCTTCCGAAGGAGTGCTCTTCACGGTGCTCAGAAGATAAAGTGTTCAGAGGACGTTGCAACCTCCAACTACTGGGACTCTGATGCTGAGAAGGCATTAGTAGTTGCGGGAGACTGATACATTTATTTCTTTTAATATGTAGAACTTAATTACAAAGCTAATGAAGAATGCTCATGAAAATGTCACATCATAGTATAGCTGTGGAAATATTCAAGTTTGTGAAAGGAATTTTCTGAGAGATACAGTGAAACTTAGTGATCTTCCTTACCAAAGAGGGAAAGAATGCATCCCAAGCTGGATATTACAGAGCAAAAGAACTCCCCTGCAACACGCAGCCAGAGAAAGACACCAGAAGAATAAGGAAGTTAAGGCAATTGTTGGCCCATAAAGTAAATCCCTTTATTTATAATTTATTTGCTTTTATCTTCTTTTTCAATTGGTATTAGTGACTAGGTTTGGTCTTGTTCATGTATTTGTTTATTTTGGGAGCTGTCAGGGTAGTTGCATGTGACTTCTCTATCTTGTAGACAAGGCTGAGATGAAGTTCCTTTCGTGCATTGCTGCAGGTGACACAACTGCATGGTGTTCATATGCTTGATAGTCTTGAACTGTTTCTTATGCCAGAAGGATGCTGGGGTTTTGCATGTTCGCAGATGTGTTTTAACCTTGAATATGTTCTTTCCTTCTTTATTAAAATAAACTATTATCTAAACTATTATTTATTATCTAAATAGACTATTATCTAACTAGTTGGGATAAAGTTTAAAAATAAATGAATGAATGAACGAATGAATAAATGAATGAATGAATAAATAAATAAATAAATAATGTGTATTTTATATTTTTCTGAGTATTCTTATATTTACCATCTAAGTTGATAATTGCATCATGTCTCTGAGGAAGATATATCCCTGTTTTTTTTTTTTTTTTTCCTTTTTGTCTTTTTTCGTGACCGGTAACGGGATTTCAACCCTCGTTGTCGTGCCCGTACTGCAACTGGCAACAGGATTGCAACCCTCGGTATCGCGCCTGCACTGAGCTCAACCAGTGAGCGGACCGGTCTCTATATGGGATCCGAACCCTTGGCGGGAGCGACGCCGCGCTCCCAAGTGCCACACTCTACCGAGTGCGCCACCAGGCTGGCCCTCCCTGTTTTTTATTGATGAGAAAATTCAAGTGCATGGAAACTTAACTACTTGCCCAAGAATACAACAAAATTAATGATCCAAATGGGTTTGGTATTGGTCAGATTCTTACTTCATCTACTTTGGAAGTTTTGCTGAATAAGACCAGTTTAGTATTAAAGGGGCACTAGTTTTGATTTCTAAATGCAGGGATAGAAATAGATGAAATTATTATTAATAGCATCAGTTCAACTCTGTTTTTAAACAATGGCCCAAATCAGGTTTCTGACTCCATTTCTCCGTGTCCTACTCATTTAGCTTTTATTCTCTTATCAGAAAGGTTACTCCCAGCCAACTAGTCCAATGAAAAGTACGGCTTGATTAAGGATCTCTTTTGTCAGTAATTTGTGCCTAATGTTTTTAGCTTTCCCATGGGCTGTTGAAGAAAATGGTAAATCTGGTTTAAATGAAACCTGATCTTGTTAATGGTTTAATAGCAGCTGCCACAGGGTTATGGCATTTTTCAGCAGATGACTCTGTTTAATTTTATATCTAAACTAAGTCTTGCAATATTTACATAAATCGTATAAAATATACCTGCATAGTTTTGGCTAAATACATTGTTATAAAATATCAGTCTTAGGCAAGTTTTTATCTTTGTTTATAATTCTTTGTACAAAATTTTTAAAAATCCAAGGCTGTAATCTATTTTTTTAAAAGAAAAGATTATTCATGTGCTAAAATTATTATTATTTTTTAAAACTGAGAGATAAGCTCCATCTCTACACCTGGGGAATCGAAGAGCGACTTGGCCGGCCTGGTCACTGTAGTCATCTTTATACCTAGTAGTATTTATTTAACACTGACAAATTGTTTATACAATGACATGCATTATAGTGTCAATGAAATAAACAGAGTAGTCACAAAATTAAATGAGACTCTTTTTCCTTCAAGAGGTGAGCCTTGTAATAATACTTCAGATTATCTTTATGGGTAAGATTAGTTTCTCTGGAGTGTAATAGTTTGTTCAACCACTTTTTAAAAAGCATTTATTCTGTGCAAAGCACTTGTTCTGGGCAGGTGAGTGATACAGAGATGAATGACGGGCATGTAAAAGAATCACTATGATGGAATATAGAAATAGTCGTACAATAGTGGTACCAGCTCAAGCAACGAGAAAGGAAAATACAGTATATCACATTAGCTAATGTGTTACAAGCTTGATTTCTAAAGCTCATAAATTGCAGAATCTTGAACTGGCAATGTTGAATTTGTCTTGTTTGGGTCCCATTTTCATGGTAATATTGTTGCTCAATTACCTGGGGCTGAACGGATTATTTATGTAAATACATCTGGTGGTGAGTTTTCAAGGGCAAACAACAGGAGCACAGAACAACTTTTTACTTAATTCGAAGTTTTCTACAGGCATCACTGAATACAATGTGTTTCTAGAAATCAAACATCCCAATCTTCCCTTGTTTTAATGTCTTTCCTAGGTACTCCCTCAAAAGAAAGATGTGAAACCGGGCATGACTTTCTTGTTTGAACTTTTCCTCCTTCGTGGGACGTCAGCTTGCCTTGACCTGGTTGTGGGTTGGGCAGTCTTCCCTTTGTGTGATAACAACTTTGATGCAGTGGAGGGAAAATTCAAGTGTCCCCTCCCCCAGGGACATTATGACCAGAACCTTGGCAACTTCAGGGAAATTGAAGATGTGATTTGCCTGGACTTGGACCACTGGCTGTGCAATCTCTATTTTCAGGTTTGCAATATGATTTTGTGAGTGCGAGAGAATTTAAAATTTTTCTAAAGCTGCTTCCTTCTAGCCTTTAGCATCCTTTCATGTTATTGAAAATTTTAATAAGTATCATAAAATGGTAAAAGTAATTACATCTTAATGCTGATTTCTGATAATGTGGATTAAATTGGTATGTAGATATAAGGAATAAAATTCTAATGTTAGTGAGAAACATAAAGATAATTTAATACACTCTTCTATGTTATGAATTGGCCAGAACTGCCACCAGAGTCCTCTTGTTCTCAGTTCACCATCTGTGGCTGCTGGAGCAGACTGTGCAGCTTCATTTCATCAACATGGGGATGGGGCGATGGTATGTTTCCTTATCCTTTGTACTCACTCAGCTTCTGTTATGTGTTGAGTGTTGCCATTTTAGGGATAAAAAGAGATAAGCTGTGGTCTCTGCCATCCAGACTCTTGCCATCTATCTAACCCGACAGATGTGTTCATACAAAAAACAATTAGACTCGCATTTCCGCAGGATTTGAGTAGCCATCACACAACTACCTCCCTTAACCACACCACTTCAAAGCACACCGTCTTTTGTGTTTACTTCACATATTTAAAACAACCAACCAAAGAAACAAAAAAACACTTGGGCATACACCATTTATTTGCGTCTGTTTGGTATTCTGTCTATGTTCAAACCCAGTCTTTTAGCAGAAATGCCATTGCTTAAATTCATTCCAGGCAATCACCAGAGAGGATTCAGAAAAGAAAATGACAGGCTACTTCAAGTATAAAGCATCCCAACAATTCGTAGGCTGTTTTTGTCCTCTGTGTCCAAATTTGTTCTTCCTGATGATGTTTTCCAGGTGGCCCATATCATAAAATTCCATGAATTGTTCTAACTTACCAACATTTGATTTTATCTGTCTGTGTATCTGTATCTCCACTTACCTACTATGTATCTGTCTGTCCTCTGCCTACCTACCGGTCTAACTGATGGAACTATTAATATGGACATTTCCAAGACTCACATGTAAGAACCAGGGCACATGGCTTTGAAATCAGTAGCTACATGTCCTTCTTGTGGGATGGTTTTCCTGTTTCCTATTTATTTTGAGTAGATTATCTGGCATTTTTTTTTCTTTTAGCTAATTCTGCTATAATGTTTTGCTGAAATAGTGA